GGGGGCGGGGGGGCCGGGGCCGCGCTAGGCGTAGAGGTCCTCCCGGTCGGCGGAGTAGACCTCTCCCTCCTGCAGCAGGGCGAAGTTGAGGAAGTGAGAGGGGCGATGGACCTCGTGGTAGAACTCCTTGGGGTTGGCGAGCTGCAGCTCGTACTTCATGTTGGGGTCGTGGCGAACACCTGGAAGAGAGAGCCCGTCACCTGCCGAGAGCCGCTCCTGCCCCCGCCGCCCTCACGAGCGGGCTCTAAATCCACAAAATGACCCCCCCGGGTCCCTCGCCCTAGGGACTGACAGGCAACGCCCCCGTAGTGAAGGTTTTCTCTGCCACTCTCCTTTCCCGACCCCGTCTGGGGTTCGCCGTGCTGTTACACCCCCACCCAGCTCAACTTTTCTCTCACGCTTTCCATGATCACCTCTTGTGCCTGACGGGGATTAATTATTCGGTGGCAACAGACCAGACAGACAAGATGTCTGTTTCCCCTTCTAGCAGAGTTTGCTCTCCTGCCACTGAAAAATCCTTGAGAACTGACATCTCAGCGCTGGTACCAAGGAACGGTCAGATCACAGCGCGGGTCAACCCTGCCAGCCGCTGCAAGGAAGGGCAAGCTTCGGAAAGGGTACGGAGCCCTTCCCTGAGGAGCTGCTCCCCTCTCCTCCCCAGGGCGGCTCACCCATGAAGTTGTAGTTCCAGGACCCTTGCGCTGGGACCATGAAGAAGCCGAGGAAGCGATCCGACAGCAGCATCTGCACCCTCTCGTAATGGGATGGCAGGTAGCCCTTGGGGTTGTTCCCTTTGTCCGTGTTCTGCCTGCCCCACTCGTAGCCGCTCGGGGTCAGTTTGTAGGCTGTCAGCGTGCAGGAGCCAGGCGTAAAGCTGAAAGAAAGGAGAGACGGGGCAAGTCAGACTGAGCTGGGGCGGAGGAGGGAAACCAGAAAGGAGCACACACTCCCTTTCCGCCCAGTTTTTAGTTTGGGAGCTCAGCGCGTTCCCAAGCGCCGCGCACCCGCAGGCCCCCTCGGCAGAGGGGGCACACAGAAGCCTCCCTGCCTCTCACCTGCAGGTGATGATGATGGTCTTCTCCCCGTCCCAGGAGGGGTTGTCAGCCATGACCTTGGCATGCGTGGTGACATCCTGCGGCGAGAGCTGAGGGGACTCATTTGGCTGGGTGTGAATCCACCCCAGAGGCTCCATTTCCTGACAAAAAGAGAGTGTTTTAGAGAGAAACGGAAGACGTTTAAAACAAGACTGCTTCGAGCCTGGCAAAAAGCACGCAGGGACTAAAGGCCTCCCCTTCACCTGACCCCAGACCAGGCTGGCTTCAGGCCGAGCCCTTTTAAGTCCGGCATCCACAACAGACCGAGGGAAGCTGCCCCGCCACCTTTGGTCCCCGTTACCGGAGACGGTGATCTCCCAGCCGCAGCGGGAGCAGAAGCTGAACTCACCTTGAGATATTCGTGCTGCGGCAGCTGCCCCGGGAGATGCACAGTCTGGTGCGTTCCCCACTGCGGCACCATTACAATGCACCGGATCTCCTTCACTTGGGGGTTATCGGGAGGGCTCACTCCATACAGGTAACCTGCAATCTAGGAACACAGGCGCCCGCCTTAGAAGCCCAGAAGAGACCTCTGTGTAAGCGGGCGAGCGTGGGTGGGCCCTGCCCTTAGCTCCCGAGGAGAGGATCTCCTGGCCGGCAGGTTCTCGCTAGAGGAGAGCACAGCAGTGTTGTTCAGTGCTGAGTCTCCTCCCCAAGTCTGGGCCACAAGGACCTGCCTAGACCTCGTGTGCTCAGCCATATTGCCAGCGTCTGCCTCGAGCACAGAGGGCTCCACAGGGACAGCAGCAAGTTCCCAGCCCTTCGCCGCCAGTTCCTGACTGCCCAGGACTGCGGGGTGCCCAGCAGCGTGGAGTACAACTGTAACGGACTCGTTGCATGCTCACCTGGGCCCGCAGATCTGAGATGCAGATGAATTTCTTCAACACGTTCTTGGGAAGAATGTATGTATAGCCCGTTTCCTTTATATCGTCCGATGAAACGTAAATGTGGTTTGTTCGCAGGTGGAGGTTGGCAGCAGAAATTGCTCTGTGAAAAGGAGACGATTATTAGGGGGTGCACAGATCCCTTCCTGAGCACTGACCTTTTCCTTGCACAAGGGCCCTGCCTGCCTTCCTACCTGACTCGCCACTCTGTCTTGGAGGAGAAAGTCTGGGTTTCGTAGTTGCTGGTTGTAGAGGTGATGATTTCATCCCCGTGTTTGTTAACGGTGCGGGTCTGCGTTGCAGTCAGTTGTGACTGCTCCTTGGTTTGCTTCTCAATTTCTGCAATCTGCTGTCTCTGCTGAGAAGGGGCAGAGATCTCCATGCCCAGGATAATATCTCGGATCTCCGACTGTGTCAGGGATGCAACGTTCACGCTGAAAGAGAAAGTCCACCCAAGTCAGGCATTTCAAACTATGTTCTGGACCCTTCTCACCAAGGCACAAGCTCAGAACTTCCACTCCAGGTGCTATGAAAAATGAAACCACAACTTTTTAGACAAGAGGAGGGACCAGATCACATGATCTGCAGATCAGAAGAGGCTTGGTGCAGACCTTTTTATCTGCCTTACTAGAAAGCAATTAATAATAAGAACCAGTTGCCCTACAAAGCTGACAGTTCATTGCTGAAGGCCCTTGAAAGTCTTCTACTCTCCCCAAGGAGCACTCTGCCCACGCAGTTTCTAGAGCAGGAAGGAAAGGCTGACAGGACAGTGGCTTACTTGTTCTTCTTGCCATAGTCAGCAAGGATGAGATCCTTCAGCTGCACCTCCACCTTGATCCACTCCTCGTCTGTCAGGGTTGGCCAGATGTGGTGAGGCTCCGTTATGGTTGTCTTATCTGGTTTCAGAATGACTTTGGCTCGATCGTTATTCACATGCAGTGCCCGGAGAATCAGAATCAGTCGAGAGAATGCCTTGGGGAAGAAAAAAAGATGCAGTTAGTCAGAAAGAAGGAAGCCAAACGTCCAAGGCCCTAGTACAGCACTCCTCTGTTTCGGCACACCGACACTGTGCGGGACATGCCAGCGGAATCAATCCGAAGGAAAACCCAGGCTGACTCTGAGCCAAGTGCTCCCAAGCAACAAATTGTGCGGGATCTCCGAAGCCTTGGCTCCTGCCTCATTTATCATCAGTGGCAAAACAAAATGCAGACTAGGCACGCTGGGCTCACCGTGTAGGAAGAGATGGTTTTCAGCCAGTCATCATAGAGATTGAAGAGAACCATTTGGGGTTCGGTAGCCTTCAGGATGAGGTCACCAAACTTCTCCACTTTCAGACAGGCCTGGAAGGGCAGCTGCAACTCTGAGCCTTTGATCACAATATTGGGGAAATCCAGCAAGTGCACCTGGAGTTTATCGAGAAGAGGAATTAGCTCACAACTGCTGCAGAACATCGGTCCGGATGAAGTCCTTCACAAGAACACAGGACTGTTCTGCAATCTCCCAAAGATTTCACAGTGTCCCCACAGAGCATTGTTACCTCAAGTGGGTCCAACATGCCCTTCCGAGTCACTATGATCTGCTTAGGCTGCTCCTCCACGGGAAGTGATCGAATCAAGGCAGCCACTTCTTCAGCAGTCTTCCACTTGGCCAGCTACAGAAAGACAGCAGGGTTAGAGAAACCTCTCTCTGCTAACAGCAGTATCTCCATGCCTTTGGGAGTCAGAGAGACTCAAACCAAATTCTAAAAACACAACTTGAATTTATGGCTTGTTCCCGATCAGTGACAAGGCCCAGCATTTCCTTCTTACTGATCACAGAGGGCAGTTCCCATCCCTGGAGTTCAGTTACTCCTGACTGGCTCAGAAAAAACAGCTGGCTACGCCGCCTCCCTGGCTCTGCCACCTGAGAGGCTTGTCTCTGCACTGGATGTATGGCCAAGTGCAACGTGATTTGCTGTAACAGCGAGCACAG